GACCTTTGAACTTAACACTAAAAAGAATGCACTCTATCCCTTTTACTCCCAGATCAAATTTGTAATTCTCTTTGCTGTCAACTATACAATTCTTATAAAGTTAGTTCAGAGAATTTAGTTTTGGATCAAAGAATTATCCCCAAATTGGTTGCTTTTGTATTGATATTGTAACAAGATATTCTGTCTTAGTCACTCATGGGATTTAAAGGAATGACCAACACAGAATTTCTCCTTACAATATCAATACAATATCAACCAGATAAGTGATGAGAATTAAGAAAAATATCAATTCAGGGATAATTAGTTGATTCAATACTAAATTCTCTAAACTAACATGATAAGAATGGTGTGGTTGACAGGAGGGAGAATTACAAATTTGATCTGGAAGTTAAAAGGTTAATGTATTTGAGTTCCTTTAAGTACTCTTGTTATAACTCAAACTTGCAATTAATAGAAGTAGGCCTCTGTGATTTCAACACAGAATTATTCCAAAGTGACATACATTTTAAGAGACAGATTTCAAACTCAACTGCTTGGAGTAATTTGTTTTAATCTTGTAATGATAGGTTTTGCTCATGTTCTGTTACTTTTTGTTGTCTCTAGGTAGCCAAATACAGTATCAGCGCGTTATCACAAGTGGTGGTGGTAAGAACAAAGCATTCATATTTTTGCATTCTCAATGTAGATTAAAGTGTTTCTCTGAACAAATGGTCATTTCATTCAATATGAGTTGTAACCCTTCCACCCCCAGTAGTGGCCAAGACAGAATTTCCCATTACAACATCAATACAATCTCAAGAAGACAAGTGATGAGAATGTAGAAAAATATCAATTAGTGGATTATCATTTGATTCCATATCAAATTCTCCAAACTGAAATTATAAGCAATGTATGCCAGACAGTAAGGAGAATTACTAAAGAGATCATGGAAGTGAAAAGGTTAAGGTGTGAGCATTGGGTGGAATAGTTAAATAATAGGAAAAGAGAAATTTTTTTTCTGATATATCTAGGATTGTTAGACTACCAAGTGAAGTGCTTAAATCAGTTTCTGTAAAAAGTTGTGATCACTATCTAGTGGTTTTAAAATAGGTCATTGATGTTCATATTTATGTCTAATTTTGGGCCCTCTCTCTATGCAGGTGATGTTGGCCAAGCCACCTCACCCCCAGCTGGAAACACAGCCCCTGGCTATGTGCTTCCTCCTGTGAGCACGCTCACTAAAGGTCAGATCCCAGGAGATATGACAGGCCAATTCCCCCCAGCGAGTTATGCTCAAGCCCCATACCCTGATCAGTGGATCCCGTATGCACCCCAGGGTTTCATTGGGAGGCCAACAGTGTTCCTTCCTGCCAACTGGTGAGAAAGTAAAGTTGTTCAGTTCTTGTTTTAAAATGCAAAGCTAGGTTTTAGTCGCTCAACAACTGTATACAAAGATGTGATGCTATTAAATACAATAAAATAGATGGGGGAAAGTGCCTCTGTTCAAAGATGCCTGTGTAAGATGGTTAAATTCCTCTTGTGGTGCAAGTTGCCAAAGTCAATGCCCTCAAATACAATTGAGTTATAAATCACTCCAACAAAACTTGTACTGTTTAAAATGTACAGTTTATTGTTTAAACTGTCTTTGTATTTACTTTTTGTTTCAGGACTGCTCCAGCTCCCCCTCCAAGAATGTCAAGCACAAAACTAAGCACCTCGGCATGAAGATAAATTTAAGGTGGCACTCCACAATTTTGCTTCATGTCTGTGTCATCACCAGTGTTGTTGTTAAGTATGGTGAAGCAAGCATTAAGGCTTTAGTATTTGAATTCATGTGTGCTAGATGCAGGAATTGTTTTGGAAAGCAAAACCTGCAAATGTATCAAATATATCATTCAGTGGTTGATGTAATCAATCTGTGTGTGTATCTCTCATTTGGGAAGTGTTTCAAACATATCCTCTTTGTGATGGAGGATTTCATGAAATGTAACAATAATTATGCTAATCATTAGCAACTTTAAGAAATTTTGTAGAGTTAAGGTATAATAATTTTTTTATTTTGGTTTATACTGTAGTCTATTTTTGTATACACACATCGCACTTCCGAGAAGGTCGTTGCTCAATTTTTGGTTCAAAACCACATGGAAATTGTTCTTAAGCAGACATGTATTTTTGTTTGTAAAGTAACCTTGTAGCTTAAGATTATAGTGAAATGAAAGTAACCCAACTCAAAGAAATGTTTGATAAATTATGATACTCAGTTTTCAAGGGATCAATTTGATCCATCATGAAGGGGAACAAGAATTGTACCCTTATCCAGCTGGATACTGGCAGACTTAGGGATGGGTTGACAGCATTGTTGACTAATGTTTATACATATAGATGATAATCTTGTTTAGAAATTGAATCCAATTGTAAGTGAATCCTCATCACTCACACGCTTCCATGCAGTTATTTTGCATGGGATAGGCTTAGTTGTCTAGATTGAAATATGTTATTAAGGGAAATTAGCATACGTGTATGTAGACATTACTTCAAAGATGTAATTCTTATTTTATTCATTAGCTCTGTCACTTTGAGGATGTTATGTCACAAAAACAGAAGCACTTGTTCATTCTCCTGTAGTTTTTGAAATTATTACATATGAAAATCACAGATTTAGTACTCCAATGGCAAAATTAATTCTTGAAAAACATAAAATTACCAATCCACAAAATTCATCTGTTACCAAATAGATATCATCATAAAGAGATCATGTTGTAAGAAGACATGAAGATTCTGGCTGAAGAAAACTTTTTCCTTTGACACTTTTTGAACCAATACAGTCCTTTAAAAGTTATGTGATGTAACATCTTTACTGCTATCAGAGATTAAACCGACTGGACAAACGTAATCTTCTCATAACCCATTATGTATTGCGACTTGTGAACATTTAACTATGAGAAGTATTAGGAATGGAAGGAAGGAAAGAAGTGATGTAAGGTTTAACATGTTTTGGTCAGAATTAAATTTATGTTCCTTCCTTAAATTTTGGAATCTTGATGTTAAACAGGGTTGCTAATATGCATGTGTGTTTAATTGTAAATATTGCATCTGTTAGATTACCACAAGATTATGGGCTGGTGTTAAATGAATGAGTGAATGAAAATTTTCATTGTACTCTTTTAAGTGTTCCTGATTTCAATGATGCTTGAAGAATGCAGTGAAAGAATAAGTTATCAGAAGTCAGTCTTCAATGCTGTGTTAACAGTACTGGCGATAATCCAGTTTCAGAAATAGGTGGTACCAAGCTTTTCAAAGCAATTTGAACAGATCAGGATAAATATGCATTTAGTTATCGAAGATTGTTGGAGGAAATTATCTTTTATACATTTTTGATATGCAAATTTTGTAGTGTAATTTTTTATATAATGTATATTATTATTTTTTTGTAGTTTTGATATAACTGCAAGGGCATTTTTCTACCTTTGGTGAAATACTCCTAGGAATATTTTTGTAGGCGCAGAACAAATAGTATTTTTTCCAAGTCAATTTATAGTACTCTCTTGTACGTGTATGCACTATTTAATAAGCACTGCGGTATGTATTTAAAGGGTACATTAGTTGGTTTGTTAATAAACGTTTGTACTTTTTGAAGTCATCGACTACAAAGTTTGATTGTGAAGCCGAGGGCTGACGTAGGGAAACAATCAACGCACACATCATGGAAATGACCAAGGGTACTCTTGGGTCTATTTTCGCTGGCTCTGTGCGGTTGGACTCTCAGAACCCCTTCCCCATTAAGGTCTAATCTGTGAACAATTACAGACACCATCTTAGTCACTGGAATTGACAAGATCTCAAAATTTTTAACCACAGATCTTTCCATTAATCCTACTTACCAGAATTTCTTACCCCCAAAAATTCCGAAAATATGCAACCCCATTCTAATAACTATTGAAAATGCAACCCCATTGCAGTCAACCAAGTGAAAATATACAACTTAATTAAGAGGCACATCCCCATTAGTCCATTACTAGCAAGTACCCTTTTGCCGCAGAGGAGTGACCAGCAAGTAATTTCTCCTTACGCTATCCACACATTTCTAGTGCAAAGGAGGCGAGAAATGAGAAAATCTCAATAAGGAGACATCGAGTTGACTCTGGCTTCACAGAGCAGTCAGTTGGGGGGACTGGTGTCCAGATTGCGTTCTGTTGTGAGATTCTATTGACGGACAGACGCATAAATGACGTCACCATTAACAACATTTTACTTTTTGGTCGTAGAAGAACAAATAGATTCCATGATGCCATTTGGAATGACATACAACGCTCTCCTCAAAGGGAGAAGAAGTGGAGCCCCTAGGTTATCAGTTTGACTTTTCATATTACATTGCAACTTAAAATTTTACAACAGCATTAAAGAAATGTGTGATATTCGACGCTGTGGTCCTTTAATGAATTACAGTTTCTTTGTGTGACCTCGGTTAGCTCCATGAACTGTTTGAGTGACCCAAATTCAACATATCGACTTTTATTTTTTACCTAGTTTCCTTCTTTTCTTTATGCCTTTTCTCTACTTCTATTGATCCGTTTTAGATCACGATTGTATTTCTTCAATATTGCTTATCACGTGTGTAATGTAATTGCAAAACATTTTAACACTTCTGTGTAATATCTTCCTTCCTGCACAGCCTGACAGGCCTGGCGGGAGTAATCCCAAGGAGGACTGTAGTGGGTAGTAGTGAGGACAACAACCTTACAACCCAACAACCTTAGCGGAAGTCACTTTACCCTCATGATGACTTCCGCTTACGTCCTTGAAACGTCAGTCACTACAACCAGAAACTGTTCTTTTCAGTGCTACTCACACCCGACCGATCAGACTACATGATGAAATATTACACCTGGCCTTTTTCAAACCATCGACTGTAATATCTTCGTAAGTTAAATGAGAAAAATTGATGGATTTTTAAATTTATTGATTTGACCATGACGAGAAATATGTCGTAAGAAACACATTGTGTGACCGATAATGGTCCTAAAAACTACAGAGTTTGCGCACTACGTTCAGGTCTGATCAAACAGAACAGTCACTAGAGGCCGGAACTTTCGTCGAACTAGTGATCCAATTGGTCTGTGATTATGAGAACTCTGGAAACTTTGTCGATTAGTCACATTTTCAACCTACTTATTTTGATCCTGTGCATTCTCCATACAAGTAAGTTAATTAGAGTCAGCGGTAACAACGTTTCGGTAATGGACCGATGTGGGTCCTACATCCCTCTAAGAATTAATCATCTGTACTTTAATGGTATCCTTAGATCATGAAGTATATATAGCCACAGGATCAAGACGGTATACTACGGGAAGATAACACGATCATTGCGAGATGTAATTTATCGTACCGTCAATTTGCATCGCCTCACTTTCGGTTTCTGAAACGACTCAGCAGAATCATGATTCTGTCTAACTATATACAAACATCTTGTCATATTCTATATTTTCTTTAATAAGGCCGTAAGTGGGGTGCAGCGGTTCTTTCGCAACATTTTTGCCACATTGAAAAGCGAATGGATAGATCATCGATTATTGCATAGTATCCTTGTCCTGTCACACGGCACGTTGCGTGACAAAAGCAGGAAATAAAATGTAATTTCAATTTGTGCAGGACAGCCGTGTCCGAGTTTTGAGGCTGTTTTCAGTGATGGTAATTTTTCGCCTTTCTTTCCGTTTTTCGTAGTGCCGGTTGTCAGTAAAGAAATTTATGTCTCTCGCTATCATGGTAACAATCAGCCTTCTTGTGGTGAAACAATGAAGACAGCATGTAAATTTATTGCTCTTGGTATTGCACATGCACAGTGGAACGATACTATCTATATTGATGGCACTGAGACATCACGTGATCCATACCCATGCTTACCGACGACGTCGCAGCTAGATGGAATTTACGTCAACAAAAGTTTATCCTTGAGACGATTCGGCAAAGATAAGGTATTCATTAGATGCTCATCTTTGAGGCGAATTACCTTAGATGGCAGAAACACATCGGACAAGGTGATTATTTACCTGGATGGAATTGCTTTTATTGATAGCTCTATCGCGGCTAGGATGAGCTCGCTTTATGTTAAAAATTGTAATTTCATCGGTGCTAAATCGTTATCAAACGCATCGGCCGTTGTTGATTTTAAGACATTCAATGGGAACCATTCTTTGCTTATCGCCAAATCTGTTTTCAGCAACAATTCTCTTCCTTGTGTCCGTGTCATTGGGAATTACCTCAGACTAGAAGTTCTTGATACGGTGTTTAGCGAGAATAACGCATCGTGGGAAGGTAAAGTGAAAATGGTGGACGTGGCCGTGTTCATGGTTTCGGTATCATGTATCATAAGGTGTGCTACGTTTATGACATTTTACAATGTCTCCTTCATAAGAAACTTTGCGCCGAACGGAGGATGTTTGCAAGTCAAAAATGTTGATAACGTGAGCGGTAGAGTGAGGTATTTCAGAGAAACTAAGTACTTGGGCCATATTTCGCAAGCGCATTCTGGAGATCATAACTCTTTTCATTCAACGTGGGGATACGTTTCCGTGTCTGTGGCCAAAGGAAGGTTTCTTCATAATGTCGGGGGAGCAGTCTTTGTTGGCGGGAAGTTAGGCCTCGTAAATATTTCTGCCGTGCATTGTGACTTTACCAATAATAGTTCTCCGCTAAGTGGAGGGGCCATGCTGGTTGAGAGCAGCCGTAAATTTTACCTGCAAATTAAAGAGTGCAAATTTGTGGAAAATAGCGCAAAAAATGATGGCTCAGCGATATACATCCTAGCAGTTGATTTTAAAGCAGCTAAAGGTTTTATTCTGATTGAAAATGTTCTTTTTCAAAAAAACATCCTACGAAAACCTAATTTTATCGAGGATTCTCTCTTGGGTGGTACTCTAACAGTTTCCGTAGAGCCTGCTAACCTTCAAATCAATTTAGTGAATGCTTCGTTTTTGCATAATAAGGTTGACATGGGAAGCTCAACGCTATACTTGGATGCTTCATATTCAGATGTAACGATTGTTGATTGCAATTTCCATGGAAATTCACAGGATAAACGTTCCCATTACATCTGGACAACCATTCTTATTTTCTCCGTTCATCTAAAGTTCACCCTAATCAGATCCAACTTCTCCGAAAATATCGGGAGACCTACTACAGCTTATAATGATACATTGGCAGGAAAGCCGGTAAATTTCTTCGCGAGCGCAACTTATAAAGCAAATATAACCATAACTGACTTGTTGTACACAAACAATAGTGGAGGAGGAATGCTTTTTAAATTGGGCTCAGATGAAGCAAGTAACTCAACATTTTCCCTGGCGCAGTCGATCTTTGAAAGCAACCAATATTTCTCCATGGATATTAGGGCGTCTACAGGCGCCCAACTTGTAATAAGAAACGTAGTGTTCTCGGCAAATGAGTTTGAAAGTTCTGTTCTCCGAAGCTTAGCGTTGGTCTTCTTCTATATTGAAAAAGAAGGAAATAAGGTAAAGATGGAAGAGGCAACCTTTAAACACAATTTCATACAAGGCAGGATCTTACGCTTTCGATTATCGCCCGACGAAAAAGATCCTCTGGCGTGTAAAATTCCAAGATGGATCTACAAAAACTACATCCAACTCGTTAATGTTGGCTTTGACAAAAATAGCGCCGATACCTCGGTCCTGCATTTGGAAAACGGCTACAATAACCTCAGAAACGTTCGATTTGTAGACAATTCAGCTACTTACACTCTATTTGGTTCAGAGGGCTCAACCAGTCTTGACTTGGTCGACACATCTTTTGATCAGACGAAAACATGGCAAAATGGAGTGACCATCCATGGAGAAGTTGTGACTCCTTCCTTTACAGGATTCATATACTGGGCGAGTTCAGGACCAATCAATCTATTAAACACGACTCTCTCCGTTGAGTCCTCTCAGGACATCGATGTTTATGTTATGGTCGCGGGGGCAAGCAAAGCAAAGATGGATGATACATCGGTCATTCAGTGTCCAGTTGGAACATTGAAAAAAGAGGTAAATCTCGATCATTCTCGTATCGTTTCAAACAAAGCTTGTCCTGACGGCTTTTTTAACACCAAGTCAGAGTCCTTTATTTTCAGTTGCAAACGATGTTCTCCAGGTTTCTACAGTGTAGAGCCGTTTGCCAAAAAGTGTCGACCGTGCCCATTTGGTGGAAACTGTACAACTGATATTGCCGCGAAACCTACATTTTGGGGATTTCCTTTGTTGTCGGATCACGGCACTGTCGGCTTTAAAGAGTGTCCGATGGGTTACTGTTGTCCCTATCGAAACATCAGCTGTCCCTATGATAACCAGAATTATTTGTCTTCAGGCTGTTCTGGAAACCGTACTGGGTTTCTCTGTGGACAATGTAAGTCTGATTACACAGAAACTCTTTTCTCTTCACGATGTCAAACCAATGATGAGTGTGCAGACTACTGGTTCTGGCTTGTCGTCTTTTTCTACAGCTTGACATTTGCTTTCCTCCTTGTTTGGAAGTATCCAGTCATATGTCTTATTCAACGGCTATTGCCATGGAAAAGAACAACACAAGCAAGTAGCACTTCACCCTCTTCCTCAAACGGTGGTGGATACATCAAGGTAGTCTTCTATTTTTATCAGGTGGCCAATTTAGTATTCATGTCGGAAGCCTTTAAGATCCATTTAGAGGACAACTACTTGTTGACTCCAATAATTGGTTGGTTCGACTTTAAAGCTATCTCTTCGAGTAACGCACTGATCTGTCCAATTCGTGGACTCACAGTCACTTTGAAAATATTCTTGGAGGCCTCTCAAGTCCTTGTTGTGCTATTCTGTGTCCTAATCATTTTCCTTTTTCATGGAGCACTTAGGAAAATAAATAAACAATCTCCGTCTTTTCCCCCCTCTGGTCAGTATCTGAGTGCCACAACAGAATGTCTTCTCCTTGGCTATTCAGCACTAGCGAGGGGAGCACTTAAAGCCTTGAACTGCGTTGAAATTCAATCAACGCTCCGCTTTTTTTATGATGGAAATGTCCAGTGCTGGTGTTGGTGGCAGAAACTTTGCGGACTGTTTCTTACTGTTTTCATTATTCCATTTGTCTTAGTCTTGTACCTTGGATCTCATTTGCTTAACAATAAATCAATATCCTCTGGGCAGTTTGTATGTGGTTGCACCTTTCCTTTGCCTTTCGCTGTAATGTGGGTCGTTAAATACAGGAGGATTTGCAAAGATTCAGGAGCCATAGTTATCAGAAGCGAAGAGACATCTTCACTTCTTCGGGTTTCAGACTCATTGAACAGTGCTGAGAAGTCTTCCTCTTTTGACGAATCTCTCAACCAATGTCAAGCAAAATCATGTAGCATGGTAGAAGATGTTCTTTATGGCCCTTTCAGGAAATCTTACGACGACCGCGGTGCTGGTGCAGTGTACTGGGAAAGCGTTTTAATCGCTCGACGTTTGGTTATGATCTGCCTCCACACTTTTATTGTTTTCCCTTTCATAAGGATTGTATGTTTAAGTATCACGTGTGCTGCTATTCTTGCCTACCATATTTGGAAAAAGCCATTCCAGGACTCACGTGTTAATCATGCGGAAACAGCATCATTGGCGGCTCTTCTTCTATTGGCGATCATAAACATGGCTGATTTAGCACTTGGTATCAATGGAGAGGGTCTTTCAGCGCAGGAACAGATTTGTATGACTGTGCTACATATCGTGGAAATCATCATCTTGGGAGCAGTTCCCCTGGCACTTGCTCTTATGATTGTAGTCTTTGTCCTGTGGCGGTTGTTCAAATTTATCCTTAATTCTTTGGTAGGATGCCATAAATCAATTGCAGAGTATATCAGAAACAGAAAGGCATAGTTTTTTTTGTTAACAAAGGCGATCTTTAATTATCTGAGGAATTTTCATGGTCATCTTATTTCCAAAACGAACCCGTTGAATTGTTTCAAAAATATAAGGAATTGTCGTTTCATTACAAATGCAATCTACTGTAGCAGGTACTTTTCAGCAAAAGTTACAATTATAATTTTACATAAACTTGGCTTAATCTAGAGAAATTGAGTCTGAGACCATTTGAATGTGAACTAGCAGTTATGAAATTTGCAAATTTGTCTTCCATACAATTCTTACGATGTTATTTTGAAGAATTTGGTATTGGATCAACTGATAATTCCCTAGATGATATTTCCTTGATTCTCATCACTCATCTGCCTGTTTCGGAATTGTGAGGAGAAATTCAGTTTTGGTCATTCATGGGAGTTATAAGGTTAATAGCCATCTAATGGAGACCGTCCTAATGCCTTGCACTTGCAATTGCTAGAAGAATAACTTTGTTCCTATTTATTGTTTTGATTCAAAATTTACTAGCACTTGGCTCTCTCCGTAATTCAATTTCTCTTCAAACCATTTCATTTAACTTTATCCCTTCTACCCATGTCCACATTAAAGACTCTGACTTGGCACACAGTCATTTTTGTTCTCAAGGGAACCCAAGTAGATTAATCAAAACCCACATCACACCTGCAAAGCACAGAGATATCTGTACTTATTTATCACCTTTAACTGGCATGAGAAGAGCACGATTGAAAATGGCTTAACAGATGACAGTGAAAGTAAATCGGCTCGTTTTTGGAAATACCTTTTTTATTTATGTCGCAAGTAACTTATATACTTATTCTTAAAAAGGGTTCTGCCTAAATAGTCAATAACAAGAAAAAAACTAGTTCTAGGCGTCCACTGCCTGTAAATAAAGAACACCTTTTACCAGAAAAAAAAGAGGATAACTTGTTGAATAAAACTCTTGAATTTTTTTGAATTTTGGATGCGCCGTGTTTGTAGAGTTAAATGCTGAAAGCGTTATTGTAAAGACTCGACTAGCGCGCGCCGATTAAAAATGCACCTCCAAATTTAACTTTCAAGCAATTTCATTTGTTCTCCAGCCATGATTTTCAAGAATATCACCCTTTTATCTATCATACCACTCTTGCAATCTCGATTACTATCTTGAAGTGTTATATCTGGGCGCTGTCTGACTCATTAGTGAAAAAAATGAGAGCTAAGCGGGATCAAAAAAGCACACCTGAAAACCGCAGAAAACCCACATTTCCTTTGCCTAAGTCAATTTTATTATTTTTAAAAATTCATCAGTTTTCGTTGTTTGGATGATAAATACTATTCTGTGGAGACACTTGTCTCCGAAACGTTTTTTAAAATGTTATTTTATGATTAACGGTCACTTTCCAAGAAACGTTGTGATGAGGATTCGGTATGGTGTGCGAAGCTGCGCTTAACAGTGTTAAAATTATTACGAATGAAGATAGCGTTAGCAGATACTAGTGTTCTTATCAAAAGAAATGTGTTTTTGAATTGACCTTGAAAATGACACCTATTAAGACCCTTTACAATAGAGTTCAATAGAGGCGTAAATTGTAGCTTTTAAATTAGAACCAACGAGATGGTTTTCATTTTCTCGCTTTTAAGTCTAATGGGCTCCCGGCCTAAGAGATGACACGAAGCTCTGAGGTCTAAAGTGGAACTGTTTTAAAGGTGTGTTTGTAATCTTTGTCATCAAAGATTCTTTGCCTAAGATTATTCTGAGCTGTTACCAGGAAAAGAAGAACAGCCACGTAGCTGAAGGTTTATGGTATGAATGATCCTCATTACAAAACGTTTAACCTCGGTCAACTTATGTTTACGTAAGGATAAGAAAAATTACTTCGTTGAAGTATTTTCTTAAAGTCTTAACCTCCGGCAGCTGCGTTTATTTGGGTTAAAAGCTATCGTCACGTAGATCAAACATTTCTCCTTAACTTTCCCTTTGTGCTAAAACGTGAAAGAAGGTCACGAATTTATATAAGGGCAGAATAGTTGATGAAATCTTTGCATTGGCTCTATTCAAATTACAAGTAATTGGAGAATACCTTGTTGTGATTTCGGCATAAAATTGGTAATTTACCGGCTTTCTCAGGAGTTTGTGTTCGCTGTTCCTTAAAAAGCTCCTTGATAATCCGCTTCATTTTCAAAGATCTGGGATCTGCATAATTACATGGTCTTGTTATTGTCTTGATAAGAGGCACGTCCATTTCGTACGCGTAAATTTCTGTTTGACAAAGGAATTTTGAGCAAAATTTTAAAAAAAAGAGTTTATTCCAAAGTTTCTGTGGATCACAGCAAGGAAAACATCGCCGTAAAGTCCCGAAGAAAAGGTAAACGGCTTTTCTTGGCTTGTTTCCTCAGTAATAAAAGGATTCACAATTGGAATGGATCACTTATGTCCTCGTATCCTGATTGGGTGGTTAACTTCAACAGTCTGTTTGAATTACTTGAGCACATCATTTGCAATAAATGGGGGCATTCACCCCCAATAGAGATATATCTGAAGGCAGACGGACTAGTTTATTAAGACCAAAATCTTTTGTCTCTTTCTTTTTCTTTCTACAATCTGAAATACATCTTAAACTTCATTTTTTGTGAAACTTGTATAGGAGAATTCTATATCTTAATTTCATTTTTTTCCTCGACTCAGGTTAAGAAAAATGTGTTAAATTTTCCAAATAGTGACAATCAAATATTGCCTAAACTCATGAATCATGCTCTTAAACATGGACAATAATAAAGATACCGAAAACCCATGCCAGGACGGTCATGAAAACGAAAACATCTTAGATCTGCCCACTGAAGAAAATTGGAATTGCTGAAATTTCGATTAGAATTATATTTGGTGGCTAGTGTCGATGAATAATCCATTTATTACAGAATGGTTTGGCTATTCATGGTTGTTGCTGGCAGCAATTTCAAAAGAGATTATTGTATGAATAATGCTTCCATCTTCGACTCCGTTTGTCAAAACAAAAATGAACATTACGAAATAAAGAGCAGGGTAAGAAATCACATTAAAATGATAACATTTTCTGCTTGTTTAAAAATTTTCCTTTGATTTCTTGGATTACTTTCCCAAATTTGTTGAAATTTCAAAGTGATTAGAGGAAATTGTTGCTGTCGTCACTTTCCGCTAAAATTTTAAAAATTGACGAATGTTTTAATGTACTTTATGAAAAATTGATTCTTCTTTGAAAAGGAGGCTGCGCCAATAAATACATTGTAGAATTTCTTTTTTATTTGTCTGGAATATGACTTGAAAATAAGTTCATGTTGTCCAAGGAAGACCAGGGAGGGTATTACAAGTTCACAGCCCTGGTAATTTATTCAAAATGTACACTTGAAATACGAATTGTCAAGAGAATTTATTAAAACATATCACGTCTTTAGGTTTTATCACCAACGTGGGAAATCTTTTCTCGGTTTTAATTTTTTCCATAAATCATTACGAGTATTGTCTCGGAAAAGATAACTCTGATAAGAGTTAAAGAAATTCTACATGATCGCTTGTATTCAGTCCTCAAGTTTAAGTTATTATCTTGACGAAGCTTGCTGTAGCGTATGCCGGCCTCTCTTATCAACGGAAACAATTTATCATGATTATAAACGAAATAAAGGGACGAACCATTAGACTCAGAATTCAATGAGGTGTGAATTGACCCTTTGTTGTGAGATTTCCAAGGATAATCTTTCCTTTTTGCGCAACATGAAAAACTTCACCCTAATGATGTTTTTTTAAGCAGGAGTTTTCACCCGAACTGCACGAAACTAGTAAGAGCGGTGTAAATTTCCATAAAGTATATTTACACAGTGTTTTTGTACACGAAGTGTTGAAACTCTCGGTTCAGTTAAAAAATATAAAATCGCAGTGTGTGATGTTCTAATTTTTAAAAAAAAATACGATAGGCAATTTACTGCAAAAAAACTGAATAAATTACATTAATTAACGTGAAAAACATGTTAGCCTTCTTTTATAAGAGCAAATCAAGATTTATTTTAAAAATTCAAGTCGTTAGATTTTCAGTAGATATGTCTTACCACATTCAATTGATAGCAAAAACTTCCATTTCCAACATTTCTTTTCAACACATCATCCCTAATAAGTGAAGTTACAAAACAGGGAATTTTTGTGGTAAATTTAATACGTAGAAAAGTAGCCGATTCAAGCTTTTTGGACGACCTTACGACTTGCTGCGTGCGATTTTAAAGATTTAGAATCGTCCTATTAGGGAATTGTAGAAAGATTACATTGTTTGGTAAAATATGAATTTGTAGCCAAATAGAAACCTTAACTTTATCTTTTATGTGCTATAGAATATTATTTTGTTTTTATTCTGAGTGTGGCCTGTGAAATTGAGCGACCGGCTACATACCTTTGGTAACGCATAACAAGTATTATAATTAGTAAAAATATTGCAGTCTTCCGGAGGAATAATGATAATAATTTTTTCAAACTTAGTATAAATATTATACAAAAATATGCTTAAAGTTAGATTTCAAAACACATTCCCTCGTGTCAATTCTTTTGAAATTCGGGAACAACGTGAGATGATGTTTTCCTGGAGATTTCCTTATGAAAAGAATCCCACAAATTATTGGCCATAATAACTTTTTTGGCGATGCGTCAATAGCAGTATGTAATTGCATGCTAATGATGTCTTTTCTCTACCTCAGTTGATGAGGCATCAGACATAATTTATTCCAAACAATTCTGAGAGCGGATTAAAGGCAGTTCTGTTGTATACATTGCTGTATTTATGTTCAACCGTGACGCCTAAACCCTAAACACCAGTGCGCCATCTCGATAAAAGACTTCAACAAGACAGCGTTGGCAATTAACAGAGTCAGGTAAGATTAGCTCTCCGATATTCTAAATATATTTTCTCAACAAAAAAAAAAAAACATTCCACTTTTTGGAACCACGCATCATGTATTTTGTTTTGTTTTTAATTCGGAAGACAAATAATGTTCCATGTAGCCTAAAAAACAAAATAACAGATGTGATTTTGAAAGCTGTCTTTTTACAGCGCAATAAGTCCAAACTGATATCCGAAAAACGACTGAAAAATTAGGACATATGAGTAAACAAATGATCATGTAAATAAACTCGTCAAGTTTCGTGTTGATTTGAATGAATACGAGGCCTTCGAATTTGTTGAAGAAACTGTGATTTTTTTTGTACATTACACGTATCATTTTCTCCCATTTGACGGGCGAGTGTACTTCGATAATGTCACTTCTAATTAAACATAGAATCTTTTGATTTTCCGTGGCTTGTCGTGGCTAGATTAGTTCTGCGATAACTATGATAACCTCCGTCTAATGATGGGTAAAGATACTTTTTCTTTTACCAAAAATTCCAAGTGGGTTTTGTCGTCAGCCATGTCGCCAGAACGCTCCAGGCTATTCACTTCGACTACTAATTTTGAAGAATCGACGCGGTCCAATTGCCAAAAGAACTAATTCATCCATGGTAAGACGGAAAAAACTTCTCAGAGTGCATGATATAATTGTTTATTGCTTTCAAAGCCGAGAGCTTCCTCGGAAGCTTTCAATCACGCGGTGATTAAGAACTCATATTTTCTGAGAAATAGCTTCTTTAAATGGTTCAAATGGAAGATTTTCAAGTACTTTGAAAAGGTGGCATGTCATCATATGATTCATATGGTAATTATTAACGATATTCATTCAACCTATCATTAACAGATAAATGTGGTTGGAAAAATCAGGATATCTGTCTGTTTTCAGCCATGAAAATCAAAGTAAAACTCGTGGGATCCGAACATCAGCGAGGGAAGACAAAAACTTATCCCGTGCTTCAGTTTGAATTATTACCTGGAAATAGAATATTTAGATTTCATTAAATCTTCGTCTAGACGTCGATCATTTCACGAATCTTCTTTCCAACTATTTACCTTTTTTTTTTTTTTAATTTTTAATCTTTGCATAACTTTTCGAAGGACTCAATGAAGATAAAATTTTAAGGTTACTCCATGTAAATTGAAAAAGGCGTTCAAATCTTGATAGACGAAGAGGAAAAAGCTTTATTATCGGTAATATTTACAACGCGATACTTTGGAGGTAAGCCTCAAAACTGATAATCACATTGCGGATTAACAATATCTTATAAAATTCACGGAATATAAAATAACCAAAAAAAGCCCTGAATTAAAAGGAAAAAAAAAAATTTCAATTGTAAGATACCACAACAATAATTTACCAATTTGCTTGATATAGGCAAGGTTCTATTTCATGGAATGAAGAAATTACATCTTTGAATTCTGTTTATTTTTATTATTCCTACGCTTTATGAACTGCCATGTTTCTAAAATTCAAATATTTATATATTCATAACGTCGGAAGAGGATAAAGGATCGCTAAGTAATTTTAACAATAGAAGGCAAAGAAATGAAGATTATAGTTGGATTTGCTTCGCTAAACTTGCTTTTATTTGCAAAGCTGTTAACAGAGAACTTAAGCCAGTGCCGATTTTATGATTTCAGATTTGCAATCACCGCTCAAACTAGAATCAGAATGAAGATTTATTGAATCCAGTCTATAGCTAAAGGATGTAATAGTATCATTTTCCAACTTTACAGCCTCGTCACATTTGGACAGCAGGGATCTTCAGATAAATATTGTGGTAGGTGAAAACGTTTTATTGATTTGTATATTATATTCAGACTATGAAAAGGACAGAACACTGAAGGAGAAAAAGCACTTTATTTTTATTGTAAATTTTCAAATCCCCAGGCGCTTTCACACTTCAGGGGATTTTCGGATGTAAAAGAGATTTCCTTAGAGGGTGAAAATTCCTTTTGGTAAATTCTTGGATTAATAAGAGACGCAAAGTTGTTAATGCTACTGGATAAACGTATATACCTATATACTACTTTTATCAAATCAAAGTAGAAGAAACAGTCGAGTAAACGATCAAATCGTGAAGTCGTGTCTAAAGGAAAAATCAACGACAACAAAGAGGGTAACACCAACAACCAAACCAATGAAATAAAAAAATACGAGGGTAAAAGTAGAAAACAATAACAGTAAAATTTTCATTGCGATCTAGAATATTGTTAACCTTACAAGGCCAAGCAGTGCAAATGCAAGCCTTCTTGATGGTGAACACCTCTCACAATCCTCCAAGCGATTACCATCGACCAAAGTTTCACCCGATTTTCACGAAAACCTTTAAAGAATGGCGGCACAAATATCCGACCACAATGCATGAAAACCCACCTGATCCTCTGGGAAGTGTATGTTCCTTTTAACAACTGATACAATAACATTATTGTTGTACACTTGTCCGAATTGTAAGACAAAAGCGACGATCGAATAAGGCTTTTTTTCAATTTCATCTGAGTTTCAGGACAATACTGTCGTAATCAAACAGAAGAAAGGCTCGCCTTGTAAAAATATTCAATCAGGTGGTGGCTTTATTAGTGTGTTTTTTTTTTAATGTTTAGAGACAAAAATTAAGATGACAAATTTACTTTGAGGTTAGAATTTAGAAAATTAGAAAATTTCAAACATCTTGGATATCTAAGAGTTGCCGTTTCCTGTTTCCATGGAGAGAATTTTCATCACGTAATCTTGTTTAATTTTTATACTTTTTCTTTATATCCTTTTTTTTTCCTTACCGGAACTCATATAAAAAAGCCTTTGCGAGTCTTATGCAAAATTTCTCGCTTATTGCCTCATGCGTAGCAGTCAGTTTATTTCCATGACTTTTGAGGCAGAAAAGGAAATAAAAACAATGGAGGTAGTTAGATAGATGGTGATTCATGTCATCAAACAATCCTAATAGAGATTGGTTAATTCATTCTCCACCTGTGTTGACTTGGCTTTTTCACGCCGTCCGACTGTTTCACCTCCAATTCAATCGAATGGTAAATGAAATACCTTTTTTTGGTGGCCTGTTGCAGTAAAACGCAAATCTTAATCCCGGTTGACTCCAAATACCATCAAATTCATCAAAAATGCCCTAATACTTCACACTTCTGCCCTAACAACTGTCATATTCAATTGGTTGTGGCAAATATACTTCGCTCTGTGATTGGAGAGGATAAAAACTCATACCACCCGCACAACCAATATGGCGCAACTCTAAAATCATAGAGAGGTTCGGCTACAATAGGATTGATCACTAAAACAAAATATTGTATTGGATGTGATATATGTGTGAACATTCAGCCCGCAAAAGCGCTATTATTATGAAGAAACAATGGATTATAGAATTGTGGCTCTATGTTGTTGCGAGATACCCTGAATTTACCTCGTATTGTTTCATTAAAATCATCGGCCAGCTGATGGTCATCTCTAAGATTTCGTTGCATGCTAAACCGGAAGAGTACAAAAAAAAAGGTATGAGCGCGAAAAGGTGGTCTCACGAACTCGTCCTACAGTTGTGTTTGTGAAATCATCCGGATGAATCTACAAGGCGAATTGCGAAGGGTTAGAATCTTACAAAATGTTTGAGTTTTACCTTACAATGATTGTCTCTCTTCTTTGGAAAAGACATTCCAACTTAGGCGGAATATCAACCTCTGAAAATCGTACATTTAAGATTGTTTAGATATTCCCTTTCCCACAAACCAAGAGTGTTTTTTCTAATCGCTTTGTCCCAGTCTCTTCCCACAGATAAAAGTCGTTACCATGGATGTACGTGATCTAAAACCGGAAAAATTCACAGAGGGACATTCTTTTTACAGAAAACCCCCGTAACTTTTTAACAAAGCCCAAATTGAATAGATTTCTCTTCTCTACAGTTCGTCCAAATGGTTCAAAAAATTAATTTACCTTCACTACTTGGGATTAGTGATCTTCTAGATATCACTAAAGAGTGAAGTATCAAGACCGTCAAAGTATTAATATATTTAAAAGGAGGCGAATAATATACGACCAGCAATGACTTGTCATATAAACCTAATTGGGATTGGTAGCATGAACGCAGCTCCTTCCATGATTCACGCAAATGACTTACGTGATGAAAAAGGAAGATAATCTGCAATGCATTGAGGAACTGTGAACTCAAAGTACTAATATTGATTCTGGAGACAGACATGGAGTTAATTTTACTTAAGAGATCTCAATACAGGTGGAAGACAATACAAACAGGCTGGGTCCCATCGGTCTGTTTGGTGAAAATTACAGTACTTAAGGGGAAAAATTTCGGGACTTTGACCTTCGACCGCTTAATACAGGTTCGACTGTAATTGGAAGTCAGTTTTCTTGTCCTCCCCCTTTATTCTCTGCAACGACTTATTCCCCCCTCCGTGCCCCCTGAAAATCATGTGATCCTTATTCTTGTCCCCCCCCGGCCCCCCCTCCCCTTGCAAGCAATAAATAATGAATGGTCTCTAAGCTATCTCTTAATCTGACCGAAAAGGCGTTGTAACACTTTGCTCAGGCACTCAACTTCAACTGAATTTATCTTACACAGACAAAAAAAATAATCATAGTAATGTACTATTTAAGTATTATTTAAATATTATTTTAATATCAATAGATGGAAAATCTAGAGAGGATGTACACAGTGATTAAAAGAGCCGAGGCTTTCGAGTTGGCCACTGTCACGTTTTAGATATAATCAGAAAAAAAAGAAAAGATAACCAAGATTTATACTCGTTAGAATTAAAATTAACGGGCACATTATTAGCATAATCTACAGCAAATATCATACTAACTGAAGCATATCTTAATCAGAGGACATACCGTGACATCTGCTATCATTGATTGGAAAGAAGAAATATTTTATGTCGCTTTCTAAATAATGTCACATCATTGGCCTAGGGATTTCCCTTTTAACCTTTCAACATATTTTTTCTATCGTTCGCGATTATACTTGATGATAGATTGGTGGTTATGGTGGTCTTTTCGTAATTTAACCACTTTTCGTTACAATAACCGCATCCTAAAGACTCTCAGTCTGCTCGAGCTGTCGTCAGACGAAGGTATGGAACGTGTGTGTAAGTAACTCTGCACGGACATTAGCCTGGAAGGATCGAGTTGATAAATATACCCATAACTCACGTAGAAGGTACTCCTTACATTTAGTTGGGATTAATTTATCCATGGCGCTATTCCTAACCAATTTAGAAATGAAAAAATTGAGAAAATCTAGGTTCAGTTTGGCAGAGATATGTTCGGTTACATGTCAAATGGTGTAAACCTTACGTGATAGGCTTTTAACTTCACTTCGTAAAATTTGCCGTAATATGCTGGTAAATAACATCTAAAGCTACTCGTGATTGTAATGTTTCTATGGACAGCCTCCTGAGATCGAAAACTCCACGATAACCAGTAAGCAGATAATCCAGTTGTGCAAATGGCTGTTTTTATCACTTCTATATGAAATTTCGTTTCCGTTAAAGAAATATTTATTCATTCGCCATCCAATTACGTAATTGAAGTAAAAAGTTCTCGATTCGTGCTTGTAGGGCTTGAATCATTTGAGGCATCTTTTTTATGTCTTTTATAGGGTCATTTTTGTTATTTTTGCACAAATGCAAAACATACCTTTTTCTCGTTTCTTCGTATCTATATTTATCAGGTTTGCGAATGACTCAATTTCCTGTTTGAATTTCTTTTCGGGATGCCATCAAGTAGGTGATAATTGGAAATGAGTATTTTAAAACACTTGTTAATTGCACTTTGATTTGAGATCCAGCGGAAGTTAATACCACTAAACTGGAATGATAAACGCTGACATTAATTGCCTCACAATCGTGGAGCACTCAAAAGCTAAGTGACTAAGTAAGGTATACGGATGAAGAAAACATGTCCTTATCTGAGATAAGACAACTAGACTTAAGATCCGCCTTTACTTTAACGTGGTTGTCTTGAAAGACTTGGTAATTGTTATCATTTGATCTGAAATTTGCATCCGTCTTCCTTTGTATGAAAATATTAACTACAATTTTGGAGCTTCATCTTACAACAGGACTAGTTAATGTAAGATTTAGATCCAACGAAAACATGCTTTTTCATTGTTCCTTATCTTGATTTGTCAGGTCGGTAATTGATAGAGGCAGCACATCTGGCGCCCTTTTCGGAATGCACACGTTTTTTGTATTGAAATCGGCCCGCTGCTTTTATACGATGAAGATTTCCGCCATCTACGAACGGAAGCGTGTTTCATTGTGGGAGAATCTGGTGCAAAAGACTTAAATATAATCTCTTAAACTCTTCGATTTCTTGAGAGACAAAGGCCATAGACTTCTTTTATCTTTGTCGCCACACAATCAGTTATGAGTCGACTTAGAAGGAAGTTACAATTTTTCTGTCCACACGTACCTCCATGCACTCAGTTATGCCGGAGTAATAAATTACACAATTTTAACTTCCCCAAGTACTATCTCAGGGTCTGAATAAGGTGGCAACAAGTACATGAACATGTCAGCCGGGTTCGTTTATAAGTAAGTTGATCAGAACTCGAACAACTCTGGCAATCATGACTAAAGTTTTCTTTTAAAGGCCTCAAGATATGTTCTCGTTGTTTATGTCTTTCTAAATTCATACCTCCCGAATGATATGTCACGAAAAGAGTGGCCCTTGTTGACCACTGTGGGTACCCAGTGAGGTCAACATAAGTTACCGGTAAATTAGCTTTGAGCCGGAAATAATAAAAAACTTAAAGGCGATCGTAGACCAAGAATTATGGAGAATGCCCAGAAAATATGTACAAGGTAAAGGCTACGGTATCATTTTACTTCTCTCGAGTCTCTGCTTTATTTTTCCCAAGTTTTCATTTGATACATGAACTTTGAAGTCAAAATTCAGTGGACAGATTTTGGCTATCGACGCAAAGATTGACCCTTACCAAGGGAAAAAAAATCCAATTATTTTCATTTGTCCTAACAAACTGTAAAATGCATCATAGTTTCTGGAGAATTGTTCCCAATGACCGTCAAAAGGAAATCCATTTCAAACGAAATTTCTTTCACTTGATTTTAAAGAATCATCAAATCTGACAGAAATTCTTAAAAAACAAGGTGAGCTCCTTTCATTAAAAACCACTGAGTGGAGTCGAAAACGCAAACGAAGATCATTTGCATCTCGGTGTATAAGCGTCAAAACGTTTGTCCAATACTAATAAGTTCGCTAAGCTTTTAAAATGTCATTTAAAAAGTAAAAAGCAAACGTTTCCGACATTAGGCCACCATCAGGGTACACATTATAACGTTTGTTCTGAGTATATTGACTGGCACCTTTGATACACCTCTTGACTGCAAGAGATATCCAGCACCCTTCATCCAGACATGTGGGTCATCCCAAACGAACACACACCACATCTCTGTCCAACGAATTCTATTCAAAATTGTGTAAACGAGGGTTCTCAATAACATAAATCGAACCGAGAAAATAGGTTTTGAACTGCGCCGTATTTATTTTCAATTTGGTTGGCGAGAATTTACGCACAGCATGGATGGTAAAAGCACGGCATCTATGATTTTGGTAAAAGTACAATCTGCTTACAATGATGATAACTGGAATTACAAACCATCAAATGTTTTCGCTTGCCTGCAATTGGTCGAAACGCATCACATGATCGAAAATACCCAAGCTAAAAATGGGGAGTCTATCAAGAAAGAAGCGTTCGTTTAAAATTTAACTCAAGATGAAATAACGTCTAGCTATTGTCACAGATGAAGGAATATGTTTGTTTGTTCATAAAGTCGTACCAAAGGACACTGAAAGGTCTCCCACGCAGCAAAGAATAGGCTATTAGTAACATTTTCCCGCTCGTTACAAAAATATTTGAGGGATAACAAACACACTAGCCTCCATTTGGCGCAAAAATATCATCTTGTATTTATCCTTGGACATTATCCGTTCTTTGAAGCTCGCAATTTTCCTCGAGGTTCGCTCTCGGAAAACCTGCCGTTCGCATCTCTAAACAGAAAACGTCCGTGAACAAATATCCGTGCATATTTTCGCTGCAAAGGGTGGCTTTTTTTATGTATCTGATAACTGTAATTCCGGCGTAAAACTCGCTTCTGAATTTCTTCAGGATTTCTTTCTACCAATTGGTTGCTAACTGAAAGCGCATTGCTATTATAATAATCATTAGTTTACAGCTAAATGTTGGTATTATACACTTAATGAATTCCAACTTAAAGTGTATAGCGGAATATTTTTGCATTTTGTAATTGATATAACGAGCGCTTTTGCGAGAGATGACAACCAGCTTAAATAGTAAAAGTGTTACTCTATTACGAAACTTTATTAATTCAGCTTTTTAGGAGCGCTGCCCTTTTCACGATAAAACTTGATCGGCTTTTTTGAACGTGGAAGGAAAGGCTTTCACCTTTGCGGAAGAGCTCTTTGAATTTTATCCATTCAGGTGCCGCTAGAGATTAAAATCTCTTGGGTGCCGTTACCCTTCGACAAACAGCGTTTGTGCCTGTAGTTTGAACAACCTTATGCAAATGTACTCTCATATTTCTGTCTGTTCTATAAAATTACAGCTACAAAGACAAAGCTCTTCTGATCTTTTAAAAAATCTTCCTTATTATACTTTTTGTTATAAACCTGCTGTGCAATAACTAAAACTAAGGAAAAATGGCAGATCACAATACCATTTGAAGAACTTTATACAGGATGCCATCTTAATAAAACCTATCTGGGTAGAAATGTCTCATAGCCTATTTCATAAAAGAAGGTACTTTCTGGCAATCAATGGTGCAGATTTTGTATTTTTTGATCCGGCCGCGCTTGAATGCATAGCAATGAAGATAAATGTCTGAGTTGAGTCACAATCGGCCGACATCTCTACCCTTTCTCAATTTCTAACTGACAGATCCACTTTAAAAAGATTGAAAGTGTTATGCAGCCAGAGAGGTTCCATCTTTCCGGAGCATCTTTTCTTGCACAAAAAAAAGAATCATTATCATCATGGATCATGAAGGGATCATTATTAAAATGCACTAAGAGTAATAAAATTCCTCTCTTTGCGTTGACGACCCCTGTGGAAAAATCGATCATTGACAAGGAATTGTTTTTGAGAGCATCAGTTTCTTTGTAACATTTTCAATGAAATTATGGCTTAGCAGCTCGTTCTACTTAAATAGTTGTTCTCAACTCTTGTGTAGTCCTGATAGAGTTTCAAGTGGAGTACTCTTCGTGATTGCCCATTGTAAACACTTTCAATACGTGCAAATAATTTTGTCACAGAATTTTGCGGTAGAAGTGAAGAGTATAAAATCTGTGTAAAAACAACACAATTCAATTTTTATGGGATTTTGACATCTATGATTGCCTTTATTGGATCAAATTGACCATTTCTTCGTTCCATTACTGCTTATTTGGAAAATTTCGCTATGTTTGTAAGTCAGGTTAACCGCACGCGGTTAATTGAGCTTCGAATTCGTTGCTGTTGAAAATTGCTTGAACGCTTCGCTTTGTGTTGTAAATTACAATGTTATTACATGGATAGTTTGTGTGGTCTGTTATCAACCTCCAGGAAGAATTGTTTTTGTGTCATTTTATGATTTAATTCCAATAAAGAGAAGTAATAAAATTCGCTGTGGACTCCTGAGATTGTATTCTCCAACAACAAAAGAAGGAAACACGGCGGATATTGGATATTTAGGTAGTTTCGCGTGACACGATTTTCTGAGAAAATCCCTGGTTGAAATGCCCTTTTGATTGCAGGTGCAATTCATGTTTCGCAGTTTTAATAACAACACAGATAATAGGATCTTGATAATATTAGAAAAGAAAATTGAAACACTTTCGCCTGAAGCTTACAACTTATAATGCCTTTAACGCTAATATAATAAAGCACAAATTTAGCTGAAGTTTCAAAATAAATCCTTAGGAACGCTTTCTTGTCATTTGTTGATCATGAAAATCCTTTCGCTCTTTATTTTTCTTCTGCATGATAAACGACTGGGCGGTTTTTTCGTGTTTACGTAGCAAAGGCAAGCGCTTGGAGATTTGATATTGTTTTTAAGGAAGTAATTTTCAAAAGCCTCAGCACAAACTTCATCTTTTATGCAAATTTTATAAACGTGAAAATTCAATGAAATATTTATGCTATCGGAAATGTGCGCGGTGATTTTTTTTGTGCAATAACATATAAATTGCAGGTAAGCTTTTTGACCTTCACAAATCTGAGGCTGTGGGCAGAGTAATACAATCTCTACTCAGAGGGCCTTCAAATCATTTTTTGTGCATGAGAAGGGTGAAACAGTTTCAAGAGATCGAAGAAATTCATTATCACGCTATTGTAAACTTTCAGGTCTTTGGCTGAGAACAACGGGAAAAGTCTTATAACCATAGAAGCGTGTCTAACAGAAACATTTCTTCACTCTGCTTCTCGCTCTGGTATCGTAATCTTCATTTGAGGAAAGTGTCTTTTTTCAACTCGTTGAGTAACATTCAACCAGCGCGAAAACAGCTAGTTTGGATGGACCAGAGAAACTACCTATCGAGGACTCTATATACTTGATATCCGTGGGGAACGTTACATGAACAGACAAATTTTTCTTGCTTCAGTGCAACAAGACCTTTAAAAAACGTCGGAAGTCACATGAACGATGCAAGGAAATCTCAGCAACGTATCTAACGATATCCTCGACGCTGATGCAGAGTTTGACGGAAAGATTGTATTTCTGGTGTTCGTGTTGTTGCTTATCCTTGCAACAGTCGTTGGTAATGGCTTCGTATTCATGGCTGTTTACACATTCCGTGAGTTGAGGACGGTGACAAATTACTTCATAGTGGCCCTTGCCGCCGCAGATGTGGCCGTTGCTCTTTTGGCGATGCCGGTATGGCTTGTAAGATCACTTGTTCACGTTGAAAGGGAACAAGATAATTATGTGATGGCTTTGTGCACCCAATGGATCGATCCATTCTGTTGTACAGCATCCATTGTGAACGCCACGTTAGTTTCCATTGACCGTTATTGTGCCATTAGCAAGCCGCTACGCTACAGAACCATGGTGACACCGCTTCGTGCTAAGCGCTCCATTGCCGTGGTTTGGGGATTCGCAGTGGCCATTGCAGGAGTCTCCTTTCTGCAATTTCATGAGTCCTACACGGTTATCGAAGGCTATGTTATATTTCTATTCGTGACGCTATTTTGTATTCCCTTAATCACGATGTCGTTTGCGTATATCTCGATCTGCAGGGCAGCCATCCACCAGATTTCTAAGATGCACTCCACACGACTTAGCTCAACGTCTTACGATCAAGACAGGAGGCAGTCGTTTGAACGACGAAAACGCTTCTTCAGAGAACTAAAAATCACCAAAATGCTTGCAGTCATAGTGAGTCTGTTTATAATTTGCTGGAGTCCATTCCTTGTGGTAACTCTCATTGAAGCGTTCACGACTGAGGAAATTCCACTTGCAGTTCAAGGTGTCATCGTCTTTCTTCCCTACGTGCTTTCATGCGCAAACCCTTGGATCTATACTGGAATGAACAGGGATTTTCGTTTGGCCTTTAAAAATTTTTTTTGTACCTCAAAGATTCTATGCCTTAAACGTTCCAGAGAGCGCAGCGCAAACGAGCGCATGTTAAGGCCACTACCGTCGACTACAGTCGACGAAACCTTCATTTCTAACGGCTTGCGACAAGGGTCCAACTCGATTCGAAAGGTTTCCAGTCGTGGACCAGAAATTACAACTGTTTAGCTTTTGAGATGGACTCAAAGAAAATATCAATTAACTCCTTCATCTCCGATTGTTTTATCGATCGAACTAATGACATTTTTAATATGATTTATAACGCAAAGGATGCACTCTTGCCAAAGTTAAATGGATCAGGAGAATAAGCTGATTTTCTCAATTAGAAAGTGACATTGCTCAGTATACTTCTAGAATGATTGCGTTCGCTCGCTTTCATTACTTGAGCTGAATGCACCACATTTATATCGAAAGGCGATAAATGTTCTGAATTCAGCTAAAGAAGATTTATGGTCATCTTCGAAAACACGGCAGACGCAACTTAGATCCAAACCCACGTCCATTTACATTAATGACCTGTTTGTCTTATACGATAAGGGATGGAAAATGGGCAGAAATGTCTTTGTAGATGACTGTTTGAAAATAGAAACTTAAAAATAGCCAGTGTTGGTTTCGAGTCGTCGGAGTAAGGTTCCTTCAATTAGTGATATATTTGAGATATATGTAGAAATATTGAGGAAAACTGGCTTTTTGTTTATGTTAAAAAGGCAGGCGAAAGCGTATGGATGAATTCAAATTGTAATGAAAGATCATCTTTTCGTCTTCTCGTTCGATATTTTGCAAAACATACAACAAAGGATATTGTTTGGCTCATGTAGATTTTGAACCCACGATTTACGTAACCAAATTAAGGTTGAGAACAAGTCGGGGATTGGTCACTGTCGATGAGAAACAAATACGTTTTTTTGGTGACCGAATGCACCAGAAACTTTTATTGAGGTTTTCTATTGAGCATGAAAAACCTTTGCCATTCACAGGCACACTGCAGCTATGAACATGGGTGATATGAGAGTCTTTTAAAGCGGAACGACTAACGGCCATGTTTAAACGCGTTGAAAATTCAAAGTAGTTAATTTCGTATCAAAAAGAATGAAGGGAATTTCTTTGAAGAAGTATATTTTCCAATAATCAAAACTCTGCGCGGGGGAAATAGAAAGAATTATAAAACGACTGGTGACCGATGGATTTCAGGCTAAAGACAATTGGCAAACAACGAAAAAATCTCATCTTTTACTCTTGCCAAAATGCTGTTTGTCGCAGTCAATCTTGATCATTTTGTTTTGTTTCAGTCGACAGCCATACACAATATACACAGAAAGGTCAGAACTTATAGGCAATTTCGTGTTTTTTTATTTCTTCGCCGCAGCTATCAGAGAAACCAATCCTAACACTTGTTCTGATTAGGAACACACTAAGAAAAAAGCTTTCCGAAATTTAAGGATAATACCATGGAAGACATACACCAGAGATGTCATGTGTTACTGTTCTAAATCTGTACCGAAGCATTTTTTGCAGTGACGCTTTCGGATTATGTGCAGATTTATTTGCGATCGTATTTGCATAGCTAAATCTTACAAGAATAAAGATATTTTTTGGAGGCCATTCTAGTATTCATGGACGGCCTATCCAGTTGCCATTCCTAATAAAAATAGATAAATAGATGAGTTACGAACTTGCAGTCTTCGGTCTTGAAAGTTGTAAATATATGAAGATGACATCTGTTTGGTACAAACACCAATCGTTGCATTTGTTCTGTAAAATAAACAAAATTGTTTGGGTTATGAGGGCTGTTTGGGCTGCCATTTGTGTCAATTTGTCTTGAATTTTTCATTCCATTTGAATTAAAATGACATAAAATTAACATTGAGCTCATCTGCTCTGTGCTGCTCATTTTAAAATGGACTTAAAGAGAGGCGGTACACCATACATTTGAAGGAAGTTTTTTTTCTATATATTTATATGTTTTCAGCCCCGTTTTCTTTGATACTGTTCAAATAAAACCAAAATAGGAAATCCCAGCAAGGTGTTCCTCTGGTCAAAAGAACCGACAGAAAGTTTATTTACCGGTTCCTAATTTCCCTCACACGTTGTTGACGCACCCGAAAACTGAAAGGTGATTTGCATCGTACGTCGTTGATTGATATTATTTTTTATTATTCTTTTAAAAGTAAAATTTGCTCTCATTCGAGATATTCTGCAATCTGATTTGACTTCACGGCGCAATACTATGATTTTGAGTCGCAAAAGGGATCTGATAGGTTTAAAACCCAGTAGAAGATGATATGTCATAGATTCAAAACAAGTTCTTCTACCTTTAGTTTCCTTTGATGAGTTGACAATACATAAGCTTCCTAAGGAATTCCTTGGATTATGAAACTTATATGTCACATATACGCATTGATTGCTGCGAAAAATGATTTTTTGTTTCAAGAAAACTTTTCTCATATTAGTCTACTTGTTTGTTTTACGAGGCTCGATCGTTGTAAACTTCAACAGTACATACACTGAGCAAATTGGTTGGAGCAAACTAAACTGGCAGCACTACATACTACGTCCTCGCTATCCCCGAAAAGGCAAACCACTAGCAAATATGTACATTATGGTCAAGTTTATATACATTTTCGAGTTGAATGTTAGGGGAGAAAAATGAAAAAGAAAAGAAATATCCAAGACTGAAAATTTCACGAGAGCAACAGCTTTATTCTTAACACTGTGGACATTCATGAAAACTTTCGGCTTTTTTCTTCCATGTGAAATAGCCAGTTAAAAATGTGAGCAAGAAAAAATCTTATAGTCCTGAAATAACCAATGATGTGCAGAAGGATTTGATTTTGCCACTGACTTGTTAAACATATCGTCTAAACAGGTAGGAAGATCGAGCTATTGAAATTATACAGTACAATATATACTACGGCAAATAAACGTTATTGGTTTAAGTTTTTGACAGAAAGTGTTTTTCCAACCTGAACGAAGTGCGATTGTAACGTGACACCGGCAACCGAACATTTCCCTCATTTTAAATCTATACACAAGACATGACTCAGAAACTTTTTCTGTGAAACATGAACCATTCGATGACTTCACATTGCATTTACAACAAGAACGGAATATTCTGTCATGTCTGTCCGTCAAATCGTCAGAATCTGTGGTAGTCAAACTTAAGCATGCTAGCTATCATTTCTCCTGGACGTATAATCACAGAAAGAATCATTTTGAGTATTTCAACATAGACATTTTAAAAGTATCTTTACAAAATTATCGTTAAAATGTAGGGTCAAAAGAACCCTTCTCAGCTAGCTGCTGTGGTAATCAGTTGACGGGAACTCCGATCGGTAGGTCTGATGGTGTACCGGATGAAATTTCCCTTTTGTCCGCATCGTTCGATAAACTTTATTGAAAAGAAAGGCATATGCGACAGTACAAAGTTTATTGAGCACGGAAACGATTTAAGTGATACAAAAGCGTATAAAGTCGCAAGCATTTCAGATAAACAAAAAGCGAGCCCGCGAGAAAAGTGGTATGTGGTAAGTGAAATGTTCTTAGTAAACAATGGTATAGCATAGGTAAATCACGAGAACCATCTCATGCATGACACAAAATATTGTCCCTATTCCCTAAACGAACATTTTCTTTAAGTTGCTGACAAGTCTTCCTCGTTAAATCCTGTTGTCAACAAATGTAGTTCGCTATTTACTTATCATTTACAATTTCCTGGATGACCTTCTTCACTGTCCAAGTCAGGTCTTTGCGCTTCGCCTTTTGAGCTTGTTCTAGTGCAAATTTAGTTCTAAGAATCTGGCATACACGACTTTAAACAAAGGAACTTTCCAAGAGGAAAACTTGTCGTATCTATCGAACTTTTCTCTATTTCAGTTATTGCATCACTTTTTTTAATCAAATTGATTTTTTTTCGAATTCTGCACCACTTTTCGTCCCTACGCCCTGTTTGAAATTTTTAGATAGATCCTCTTTAAATTTTCATCCACCTTATCTTCTATTTGTGTTTAGATGGTGAGCAGATGTTTAAAAATTATAGATTTTACATACAGACTATTTAAGATTCAAACTAGGGTATGACTTGAAATTTCGAACGACTCACCTCTTAAGATCTCTTAAACAGTTGCACTTTCCAATTTATTGCAACAACAAGAAGCCGAATTCAGTCGTTTGTAAGCGGCATCCTAGATAGTGCCGGATATTTTCTCACGCTTGCTAAGTACATCGTAAAGTATCTGTTTTTTCAAATAATTGTGATCCTATTTTTAACCTCATTTTTCGCTCTGCGTAAAATTAGAGGTTAATTACACCCAAAACCGACACGCAATCTTGACAAGGAATATTTTTTACGATATTCACGAGTGTAACAAATTTAGTTGATCTTGCCTGATTCGTTTGAGGTTTATTCCTTTTGATTAATACTTTGGATCCTTTTGAAACGATATCTTTGGCGTAACTTATCCTTTTATAGACACCACTGATGAAAGAACAATTAAAAAATTCTACTGGTTTAAAAGTATTCCGGTGAACGACCCAAAGTAATTGCTAGGTTGTTCTTCTTTTTTTCGGTTAACACCCCAATGCCTTCAGCTATCTGTTTTTTTTTTCTTAAGAAGTAACGAATATACTCAAAGCATAAAAATATAATTGAATAGTTAAACTTCATCAGAACTTTCAACTGGTTGAGATGATTACTCGAGTACAGACGAAATTATCTGATTGAATTGTCGCCTGGCTTTTTTTTGGAACAAATCCATTCCGAGAATCTTTAAAATTTAAACTGGACTTCAGGGAAAGTATTTCACCAAACAAAGCTGGTGGTTCGTCGCTGTTTCGTGAAATGATTGATGATGATAGAATGTAAGAGTGCATTAAATTTATGTGTAATTTAGGCTCGTGTAACAAGAAGACTGAAAAATATTATAGTTACTTGGTAGCAGTGTGTTGTCAGTTCTCTAATCGCTTGTTCGCCCACTTCTAACCGTTTCTTTTTTTCTTATTATTTTTTGTCAGATCTTTGCACTTCGACCAGTAGTTTGCATTATTCAGTTTTGGTAAGTGAAAGCAGGTCGTATGGCTGCACAAAGAAATTTATGTAAAAAAACCTCGGAAAAGAAAAATGGCCATTTTAAAAGATTCAACAACTTTACAACTTTTAAACGGGTGTGGCTTTAAAATGAGTTATTTTGATTCGTGATAACGTTTCCTTTGCGGTTCCTTTTGTTATGGTTATCACTTTACTTTTAGCCAACTAATGTCTACAGTGAAAGAGCCGCCGCAAGGTGAACGGACACTAGTTGATGGCGATGCTTTAATTGCTTCCACAGACATCAACTCAACCCCCTGGGTATGATGAATGGCTCGAACACTAACTTTATAAAGACCTCCTTCCTCCCAAAATGTTGTTCAAGCCATGAAAAAATGAGTTCAAGCATCTAAGCAACTGCGAACCTACCCCTCCCCTAAACCAACAACAGTCAACTGATAACAACTTACGGTTAATGTTGGGCTCAGGGAGGGGTAGGTGCGCTCTTCCTAAGATACCAACGTAATTGCATATGACTTAAAACAAGCTTTGTTTGACAAAAGGAAATGACAAGGTTTTTCCGTTTTCTCCCGGTTTGTTAACTCAGGCGCTCGGCCGGAGTTGTTCGAGTTAAATGACAAATGGCTGTCGAAGCTCACGCTGTTTAACTTTCCCCTGTAGGCTTCAAGAACCAGTTGAAAGCATTTGAGAACACAACTTCTGATTTTTTCGGGGAAAAAGGGGAAAAACCTTAAACCCCAAGGCTAAGATTAACCATTTCTAGCGCCTTAGTAGACGCACATATGCGTATAGTTTAAATACTGAAAACTTGAAAGACAATACCGTAAGGCTGGGAGCGTTAGGGTCTATTAGAAACCGCAAAACCGTAAGAAAAATCATCTAAAACCGCAAAAAAATTCGATCAAAACCGATCACGCATTCCTCTCAACAACATTTGCGTTTCGCGCCAACTCGATTTGATTTTGATTTGATTTGAACACACAAAACACTTCACATATGAACTTTGGATATGAAGCCAGCAAGTTTCCTGCAGCTAATTGGCAGAGCATTCAACCAGGATTTTGGGACGGGACAGGGTTCCATTTCTTAAGAGAGACTCAGATTTTTGTTTGTCCAGCTTTCTTGATTATGTGAAAAGTGTTCCACATATTTCTTTACACTTCTGTAGCTCACACGGATCACAAGTGTTTTTAATACAACATTGTATAAAAATTACTACAATCATAATTTAGTCATTATTCAGAAATATCATTTTCAGAAGCTACACAGCCAATTTGCCCTTCAGGAGGTGGGAAACCCAACAATTCACAACAAAAGAGAACTAAACAGCTTGCTAAAAACTTCTCTACACTTGAAATGAAGTCAGTTGATGTAAAACTTTTAAGATAGCAAAGGTCTGATGGAAGCTTCTTGTTCAAGTCTCCATTACATACTTCAGAAGTCCCACACTTATGCTGTATTCCACCAAGCAATGAACAACAACCACAGAGAAAAAGAAAACTCCAAAGTCCTTTATGGCAACCAGAAGAGCAGTAAAAAGAAAATTGATTCTGTGGGTAAATTCTATTGGAATTCCACAAAGTTGCAATGCAACAGTGAGCAAGGAAATATAAGCTGAGTTGGATGTCTGGAAAAAGAAAAAAAAAAAACCAGAAATTTATTTAATGGACGGAACCTTAACATACAAATGTAGCATGATACATATGTAAGGATTGCACTTAGCGCACATGTGGTGCA